AGGATTGAGGTGGCTCTCTAACAACCATCCCGACTTGGAAGGTACATCGGCGAAGTATCCTGTGCCTCAAAGACTCCAACAAGAATTCCTGTGGGGGAAAGTGCTATTCGAAGCAATGTGTTGCACTTTATAGTAGGTTTGATAGCTAAGAACAGTGGACTATATGTTGGTATCAGAAGCCGGCCGGTGAATTAAGTACATGTCCTAGGCTACTACTAAATCTGAGTGTGACCAGTCTCATCTCCTGGCAACTTGTATCATCAATGTAGAGATTGAAGCTTCAATATGGCTTGAATGAACAATGCTTCCCGCTTGGGCCTCGAAGTTGACTTCAGTACCACCCAAGTATGGCGGTAGTCACACTATATATATGGTAGACGTCTAGCTACTGGAAATGTGACTGCATGTCACAGAACCACGCCACAGAGACCCCAACACCACAATCCGAACTCGCGACGCTCAAAGTCGACCTGGTCCTGCTCGGCAACGGTAGACGTGTCCGAAAACAAGCTCGATTTCAACTTCAGCTCATAGCCGACAGTTGCGGGACCTTCTCACACCAAAGATGGTAAGCTTCTGCTATACTACTGTTATTCGCGGTAGGCCCATCGTTTTGCAAACTGCTGTAAAGTCATAATACCTACTCTACGGTAAAGACGGCGTCGTCGCGGCGCCCGGAGTGTACATACAGTCAGCACCCCCGGCTAGATGGCGCAGAGCACCTTTATCAGATATATATCACTGAGACGGAACTCACCTCCACACTCCAGTTCTGATATGGAATCCGATATGGGGAGTGAAGCTGGAGCACTTTGGCAGCGCTAAGTACGATCGTGCCCGACTAGGGCTGCCCTTATGAAACGGTGGTCGAATGTAGGTCAGCTGTAGAACACCAAGTGCAGTAAGTCGATAGGCCCCAGGGGAGCAGCTAACGCAATGGACCGAGGGCTCGTCGCGACGATAACGCGCAGCCGCACCATCGCATCGGCTTTCGATCAAGGACGAGAGGCACCTGGTCAGAAGGAAGGAGAGAACATGCCTGAGTAGACAGATGCGGTGGAGACAACTAGAACAGTTGACCGCCATAGCTTATTATCGGGCTACAGCCACCGCATAACAGTTCGGCCCAGACGAACAGAACAATTAGCGCATTCATCGCGGCTGGAATTCAGGTTCGTCTGTGAGCCTCTGTGAGCGAGGTTGAGGGAGGTCCGGCACCAGATGCTGATAACAAACCAAGGTGACGACCAAAAGGAGCGGCGAGGGGAGGACTCCACCTGCAAGTGGTTTCTGTCGCTCTGCGTCCTGAGGATGTGCGTCGCATGCGTAGCCTGATCAGTTCGTCCCGCCCGGACTTACGCTACACGCGCAAAAGGGTCCAATAAAGTCGCATTAGAGCGTCCGAGGCGTAGGAACACAGCGGCCAGGCCCTGCGGATCAAGCATGCGTGGCGTTGACTACAGTACTGCCATTGTCGCATCCGAACCATCTCTGGAATGGTCAAGGATCACGGGCGCAGTCTGTGGGGACAAAGAATGCATGTACGACTCACCCTGCATACGGTCGGTGGCTTGAACTATCATCCCACGTGTCCAGTTTAAGCTCGCATAGCCAAGTATTTCCAACGAACCCTGTTGACGCAGCGCAAAGTATCATAGAGTATCACTTACATCTGTGAGAAAAATGGATGGATATAGACTATGGCGTGTCATCTTCCTCTTCTTATCTCCATCATAAAGGACCGAAGTGATAGTCGCCGGACCGCTAAGAAGGTTGCCGATGGGAGGTGGACATGAGAATGGGGCTACTAGAGTAGTGTCATAGACCCACCTGTCTTTGGTAAGTAATGTAATAGACCCACCACACCAGCCAACTTTGATGAGGTATCAGAGTAAGTACGGCCGGCAGGTCCGTCCGGAGGGTGCACCGTCCCGGAGTCCATAAGCGGCAGGAGTGCATCAGTGAAGTTCGGGTAAGGGCAATAGTTCACCGCAGGTTCACGTAGTTGATGGAAGCGAGAGCGACGTCACGACAATCAAACGGACGGTGGGTCAGAGCTCGATGAATGAAGTGGGCAATGGTGACTTGAGATGGAACGGAACGCTGGAGAGATGTGAAGCGAAGCTAGCGCCGCGTGCGGTTAGGCGAAGAAAGCTGAGGGCGAGTTCTTAGAATGTGGGGCGGAGAAGGGGCGGATGGGACCGCAGCGCTAGCGCAGTCTGCGCAGAGCGTCCGTACGAGGTAACCTACGAAGTTAGCCGTGAGACGAGATATGAAGACGCACTACTGCCATTCATCGAGCTGCGTTTCACAGTGGTGAATGGAGAAGAATGGAGCGGTTGCGAAATGAGACCGCAGAAATCGACCCGTAATGATACGGTCGATATCTTTGCTTACCTTGATGCAGGTGTAATCCGGATCCCCGACTGACGCCGTTGTACGTCGGTTGTGCTCGCTCCGTCTATTGGAACCTTTCCCACGGCTCTAAGGCATATAACGTGCCTTCCACGCGGAAGGTGAGTCCAATTGTTGGACGCATACATACGAGGAAATGGCGTAGTTGCAAAGTGCCGCCATGTCGGTACGTAACTTCCCAATTGTTCCCTCTGCGGAGATGAAGGTTAAGATGTTCGGCACGAATAAGACAATGATCAACGAGGCTATTTAGAGATCGGGGAGCATATATAGGTTTACAGGTGCCCGGTCCAGGCAGGTCGTAGCAGCGGTGGCATCATGGATGCGACGGCTTTGGCCGGACTTCCACTGAGACTTGGTATATGAAGGTATATGCTGCGTCCGTCAGCAGCGGTAACAATGAGCTTGCCAAGCCAGGTCCTGTACGGGTCAGTTCTCGGTGAGCAGCGCCGCGGACTCACGGCACTGATTTAGCTCCAGCCGGTGGCAGGACATCGGGCTCTGGTGACCATGATTGTCGAGCACTAGAATACGTACTTGACGAGCCCCCAATCCATAAAGTCGCCTCAAGTAATCCCTAGGGTCCGCTGCCGCAATTAGGAGGCGATTTCGCCGTTCTATCAGTGAGACCTACTTCGGTCTAACGCTAGAGATACTCCGTGCTTCCTCTCAGCAACCGCCAAAGCTGCTAAAGTCGTCCATGAGTGATAGGGGCGCAGACGTCCCCAGAGTATATGCACTGGAAGTGAAACATCAATCAGTCACGAGAGTGGGGTTTGCGAGCGCAGGGAATACCACAGCTTCCGCGCTGCGACGGTCTTGGCACTCTATGTAGAACATGACGGCGAGACACGATGGTGAGAGGCGGTCAACAAATCTAGCACAGGCCCCGGTTTCGCGCAGCGATGCTCACCTGATCTGCCAATCCACCGCAGTCTTCCAACTAAGAGAAAGATCCTAGACAGACTTATCAGATAGAGTAACGCGGCCTTGCTTGATCGTGCCTAGAATATCTCCAACCAGAGGGAACATTGGGAAGACGAGCATGGGAAACGTGCGCTATATCCAGAGTGGAACCAGAATAGAACGGAGCGTTCAGAAATCTCTTCACAGTAATATGAACCAGCCCCAACGCATGCTAATGCACCACGAGGACGTCGTCCGGACACGCATATAAATGCAGCTTGAGGTAGCAAGATTTTGAGAGATGTACAAGAACTAGCCTAGCAAGGCAAGTAAGTGCATTCCAGAACGGACAACTCTATCACGTATTTGCGATCAACACAGCCGGGATGTATTGGAGGCGAACCTTGAGGTCGTAAGCCATCCATATGTACTTCAAGTTGATGGTCGATAAACAATCTAAAATGGAATCCAGGGTAATAAGTCGAGCGGCAATTAGTCGCCCCAGACTTATTTTGATGACGTTGGTGGACGACCCAAAGCAAGGCATAACCATGTCCCCTGATCGGGTAGAAAGAGAGTTTCGTAGGTGCTGGCAAAAATCATTCTATTGTGTATGATCGACCGCCACGAAGGAAGTAGATCTTGCATTCAGCTGGACCTCCTTTCGTAACTGCGCTATGTTAGCGTCTCGAAAGGCCAGCGTAAATAAATATCCGGACAAAACTCCGGTGACTGGACCGATCATGAGCGCGTACTCCTATGCAGAGCGAAACCACTTACGACAGCCAGAAACAACGGTGAGATTACGATTGAGACGCATAAGCTTTGCGCCAACCAGGGCTGAGAAGGCTCCATTATTTATTTCCAAGCAATAGTAGACGTATTGGCGGATATTACCTCCTGTCAGTCCGCATGTCAAACCCGCAAATGCCCCGTCTCTGCGGGCTTCCTAAGAGACATATTCATCAAATTTCGCATAAGGCGGGATTGCTGAGCGCGTACCTTCTCACATCGCGCGACCGCGTCAGCAGGCAGTCCAGCTATCGCAGAAATTGTAGAGGGGCTTGCAGACATGCTAGAAAGAAACGTTAACACGAAACGGTGCAGAAAGTGTGACCTGTGGCGCGTTAGGTCACATCAGGTCACATCCTCAGTGCACCCGCGTGCTAAGCGCTCGCTTCGGTCGCAGGACCGTGACACTTATCCTGATTTAAGTACCTGCCTGAATCTCCCTGTGGACAGCGGTATAGGATGTCGCTACATAAGGAAAAGGGCCTAGCGCCGCAAGCCTTACGAGATATACACCAGAAGATAATAGGTGCGAGACCGGCGAAAGTATCAGACTCGATAGGGGACGGCGCGCATGTACTGACCTGTAGTAAGACCTCCTCCTCAAGGTGAAGCCGCGGCTAAGCGACAAGAAGTGCCTCGAAGATCATGCTATTCCGGACGAACTGTACCAGATATCTGCTCTTGCCGAGTCGCTTGTAGAGCGCCGGCCCAGATCTAGTAAGAGCTGGCAAGACTTAGCAGATTCTCTGGATGAGGAAGGTGTGTGGGTCTTATCTGACGCGAACGTCCCCAACGCAGAAAACCTGATTAAGGGTATAGGGGTTACTCTGTGGAATTGGTCCGGCACAATGCAACATGGGCGGGACCCAAACGGCGGAACTCTGTCGGCCGCACGTACGTTTTTTCGTTACATGTAACTTCCCGTTCGACAAGACATGCGCTCACCGCCTATGATACGCGAAGTAAAATACGCAGGATATCGTCTCATCGAGGCAGGACTAGAGCATAAACTTAACGTGGAGAGTGAGCTCCTCTACTGAGTAATCAGTTCACCTTCTGACCGTTGACACGTTTCCTCCTCTCAAAACCACGCGATAGCACTACTACGCATGCTTCATTTGGCAAGCAAAGTTGGTAGTGCCCTGTCCGGTAAGTCTTACATCCAGGATTGCCATGATGGCCGCTTGCCGCTCCTGTCCTGGCCTCACGAGCAAGCGAAGAGGCTGGTAGGAGAGATGCAGCAGCAAGTGTTCTTATGTCGGCTGCCAAGGTCACTCCTGTCCCCTGGGGTTGTGGGAATGTGCTAATCGACAGAATGGCTGTGATAAATACTTGGAACAGTATGAAGAATCCCTTCGGAATGCCGGCCAACTGGAAGGCGAACACGCTCAAACCGCGGCGACAGCGACTATCACATATTACACAACCAGAATGGATGCCGTTAGTACACGACTATTATTACTTTTCCCCGGGTTTCACACCTTTTCTGTGCCCATTTAGGCATTTAGGGAGGGCAATGATGGGGTGGCGCAGTTTATGCTCCAGAAGATCACAGGTCAGAAAGGTCCCACCCAGTACGGCAGCCTTGAATGACAGGATACTCACATGTGATGCTAGAAAATGAAGCACAGTTAGAATTACTGCAGGCTCTTGATGTAGGTGTTCCTCGTGTGCTTTTTGCATTAGAGCGGGATAACGTTCGATTCTTCAGCGAGAACGCGTAGCCGCTAAATTACTGGAGATCGGGAAGTCGTTTCTTCGTAGCAAGGCGCGAGACGTTGGAGCTGTAGAGCCTGAATCAGCCCGAGAGTCTGTGCCATGGATGCAAAAGGCCTTCACGATGATTGAGCACCTGGAAGACGTAGCATCGCCTGGCTTACCAGAACTGAAGGTCAATCGTGCTCGTAATTTTGGATGTCCAGACATAGCGCAAGTTCTAACGTGCTGTTACCCTCAGCGATCCATTTTACGCAGTCTAGGTGACAGCGAGTGGTGCATGTTGAGGTTCCTAGAGACTGACCTCTCGCGTAGCTCGGGCCTATTTTCTCTCTTCCTCCCTTGAACCCGAGAATCTGACCCGCGCAGAAGCTTCCTTGAATGAGCTTATTACGACCCTTGACTCCACCACAAACAGCGTGAGATCGACCCGTTTCATTTCTCTGAATTTGATGTTTTCATACAGGCGTTTGATAGGGAAGCCCGGAATACCAGCAACTAAGATGGATGAGGATAGCCGTGTTGAAACGCCGGAGGGCGTCCGAACTCGCTCTTATGGACGGTAACTCCCCGAGAGGTTGTGCCGCACGATTAGCCCACAATAACCGCGAGTTTCCAGCGTTCCAGTCTGTTGTCGATCACACGGCTTTGACGGATGCCGATGTTACAGAGTAAGAGGTGCCTCACTGTTCTCTTTGAGCCGTTCCAAACCTAGACCTAGTTTACTTCAAGAGCTTCGGACACTTCACCAGCATCAGTACGTCGCCGAGAGCTATCTAAGCACCGTCATTGACGATCCATCTTCAGTACTCTAGTCACAGCTATACACCGACATTCGCTGAAGCGAAGCCTAGAAATAGAGGGGGAGCATGTTCTCAACTCAATCGATCGGCTGCTCTTATCCTTGATCCACCATTGTTCCAAGGACCAAGACCATGGAAGGGCCATGGGGGACATGGCCGAGGCATTCTCAGGTACGTCTTATCCTCACGCATTGCTCTGTTATTAATGAAATCTAGTAGATTTGCATAACGGGGATATCAAGTTGGCGAAAGTTTCTACCGTCGCATGTTTAACGGTAGGTTGCATAACCGTGATCACCTGTCCAGTCCCAGTATGGACTGTTGGGTATCGCAGCTTCTTTGGCAGTTTGGCGATCGCCACTATCATGCGAAGCGATGGTCGCAGGCAGCGGAGTGGTTCCTTGCGGGTGCCCACAGCATCTTCAGCAGCATGGGTACATCCACCGAGGCGAAATGCTATAGGAAAGCTGCGTTGGCGCTCATCCACGGGAAAGAATATGGCAGGGCGTATACCGCTATCCGGCACTGTCCCACGGATGAAGCTGCGACTTATTACGTTGTCTTCCTCACAGCAGTCCACCAAGGTAAGTGAACTCAGCGAGACAAATCTCCCAAGCCCTTAGCTGACTCCGCATATGGGTTTAGGTCTAGAAGAGGAAGGTAAGTGAGGTGGTCCCATCATGTGAGGAGATATTTATAATGACCGGCCCTCAGCCATCCGAGCTGTCAAAGATATGGTGAATTCCTCTGACTTCGACCGGAACATGCTCCTATTGGCCACCCAAATGGCCCATGAATCGGAACTGAAGTGTTTGCTCCTTACGATTCTGGATGCATTACTGCAGACGCTGAAGGACGACGAGAGCATCGAGACCGAGATTGACGCGATAACTATAATACGCTGTCTCGTCCGATTGATCCTCAAGTTACTGTCGGAACCAGGCGCGAACAGGTAAGCTGGTCTGTCTTCGAAAGACCGCTCGCAATCCTAAGTGTATAGATTCGAACTGGTCCAGGCCCTGATACGCTATCTGAAGACGGGTAAGTTCTGATCGAGCAGAGCTTGGTCGGATAATTCTATGCAAATGACTTTTCGTAGCTAAGTCATGCTGTGAGAAGGCGGCATCGAGGAAGGCAGGGGCTGTGATTAGCAAGGACGTATCATGGCTATGGCGAGCCGCTTACAACTGCGGTGTGCAAGGATGTTCTGAATGGGAAAGCTCACCAGATACCGTTTCTGATCTATTCGAGGCCACCCGAGAGGTAATGTGGAATGCGCATCTTTGATGACTGAGGAAATCCAGCGCTTGCCGGCAGCTTTTAGAAGTCTACTGTCAGATGGCCGCCATGGACGTTGATTCGGATGTATACCAATATATTGTCAACGCTTCATTCGCCAGTATCTCAGGACGAGGTGAGTTCGTATGGTCATACCTGAGTTCTACGACGACCATATCTTTCTAGTCTTCATGGCCCGAGAAAGACTCTTGCACGGCTCAATCCCGGTATGGCTCTTGATCTTTTTGGTATGACGTGTGGCACATGTCTTATGGAATTCGCCAGGGGGATCGATTGAGGCCCACTCTCAAAAATATAGAGGAGGCCAAAGCTAGAATCCAGGGCATCCTTGGGAAGAACCTGATTCGTCGTCAAGAGGACATTCCCCGAGTTCGCTCCTTTCTTCACGTATTGCGTGTTTTCCAGGTGGAGATGTTGTGCCACCTCAAGGATTGGTGCACTCTTTTAGAGACCGTTGGGGTAGCAATTCAGTAGGTCCTAACCATGTTCCGTCATGCTGATACGCGGCCCATAGGAAATAGTGAGAGCCGATGCTCTGGCTGTCAACACCTTCGAGGCAGTTGCCGATATCCTTGTGCGTGGTTGTGCTCCACATCTCAGACATGTTGGGACCTTGCCGATTATCCATCCCTAGTGGGTAGAAAAGGACTGCCCGACCGAAAGCAAGTACACTAGTTTGGGCTTCTTGGCACCGTGGTAATGACGTTACCAGTTCTATTCACCGTGCTCGAGGTGATCGGACTCTGTATCCTTGAGATCGTCCCTCTAACTTATCTAGGCTATCCTGCACGCGAGCCTGGACCGTAACATGGTATCCGTGAAGAAATTTGCTAGATGGCTGAGGGCTATATGCACGATTCTCTTATCCCGGAACGCGCCCGCTGACAGATTGAAAGCAATTGGTTACGTCGAGCAGGCAGTGACAGTATTGGAGACTCAAGAGCACGATGAAAGCTCCGAAATCGAGGTATCCTAACCCCTCCTTGGTCTGATCTGATTACCTACCTCTCCCTAGGCCTATCCGGCGGACGAGCGCCAGTGGCTCCTTGCCACCACGTACAATACTGGTATCGAGTGCTTACAGTTCGTGAAAAGCGTTTGTGATGTCCTCTCCGCTCCTGCCACTAAAGGATCCGCCATAGCGCATCGCTATTGGACGAGGCCAAGCGATGGTTTGAAGCATCCACCGTCATTTGTCGATATGTGCCCGATGGTGAACAGCGTGCGGAGAAGGTTGACAGGGCCGAGCACCTGATCCCAGTCCCAGTTGCTGACTTGCCGATCTAGATTTCTGCAACGTATACGCACTTGCTGTCTCGATACGCCTCGGATTCTTAGGCAACAACCACGGAGCTCCATCTCTGCTCCCTGCTGCTTCCCTGTATTTCACGACCCCTCTGGTCTCCTGTCCGCCACTGGTCTTCTATGCTGACCGACGACTCCTCTTCAACATCCCGACTTTTGGACATCCCCAGTGGACCATTCGGATCTCGGCGCCCAACTCTCGTGTGCTCTTGTATCTACCATTTAATGTGTTCGTATCAATGCATAACTTTGGCATCTCCCGATGGACTAGACTCGGTGCCAGCCCCCTGTCGGCATCAACTTGTGTCGCGCAGACGTCGAGACAGCTTCCGGCACGCAACTGTAAATTTTCATCGCTTCCTTTACCCCCCGCTCCAGTATTATCGCGCGTGGAATGTAGACAGACACGGGTCTACCAAAGAAACATAATGCAGCCAAAGATCACTGATTAATGTAGTTCCGCAACTGGTACAGTAGAACCCGGCCGCGATTATTCCCGACTGCGAGGTATTCGCTGCCTCGCGAGAAGTCCATAGCAGTGACATGGCCGAGTGGCGTACTCGATGTGGGCCAATTCGAGAACGCCGTAAGGGAAGGCAGATGGATCTGTATTTCACGTAAACGTGTGCGACCTAAGACTCAAGGGACAGTCTGCGTACCATGCGCATTTGATCCTTTTTCACGTTGCTGGCCATGGCTAGGAGCTGGGAGTCGTGGTTGAATCGGAGGGAGGATATCGAGGTCGTCAGGTTCCCGATTGTCTTCAGCGGTTTCGGCATGTCAGCCGAGGGCAGCGCCGGACTGTACACGTTCACAAGGCCTGTATTCGAGCTGCAAGCGAGGTGAGTTGGACAATCGACTCCCAACCTACAAACAGCTACTCACCCAATAGCCAGATACCGATCCGCATTATCGCCCGCCATGACCTGGCTCCCGAACCCCCCGTCCTCCCTCCAGCGCCGCACACACCGCCGCTCGCCCACGTCCCAGACATACACCTCTGAGTCCTGGCTGAGCGTCATCAGCTCGCGCCCCTCCCCGCCCCTCGCCCACCACACGCTCTTCACGCCCGCGTTCATCTTCACGCTGCCGACCACCTGCCCGCCGCCGCTCTGCCAGTCGACGAGGTGCACGGCGCCGCGGCGGCCCGCAACGGCGAGCACGCTGCCGTCGGGGCTGAACGCACACGTCTCCATGCTCTCGGCAGCGTTGGTGTTGTTGGTGAAGGTGGTGCCCCAGAGCCCGCGCGGGGAGCGGCGGGAGGTGCCGGATTGGAGGTCGTAGGTGTAGTAGAAGGGGCGGGGGCCGACGAGGAGGACGGAAGAGCCGTCGGGGTGGAAGAGCGCGTTGGTCAGCGGGAGGGAGGGGATGTGGAGGGTCTGGAGGTGCGGGTTCGAGTGGCCGTCGATCTGGGGATATTATGGTCATGTAGTTAGTACGCGGCAGCGAGACTGAGACTCCCGAATATGCGTACATTGAACAGACGTAGTCGGCGGTCGGTACTGGCGGTGAGCATGACCGGTATCCGCGGCGATGGGTGGAACTGGATCGCCTTCACCTCGCCCTCCGCCTTCGCGGTAATATTCGCGTCACGCAGGCGCTCGATAGCCAGCGTGCCCTGCGGCAGCACCCTCGACTTCTTCGCGCCGCTCAGGATCCCATCTGTTGACGCCAACAAATCATCCACATCCGCTCGCTCATCCTCACCATCCGATACCGACGCGCGCCGCCGCTTCGCCTGCTTTTTCCGCGCTTTGATCGCCCACTCGGGCGTAGGGTTGATTTTCTCGAACTGCCTGCGCAGCCTGCGCTCGTATTCGCGCCCGCCGACCGTGTCCTCCGTCGGCGCATCGCGGAGCTTCCGGAGTCGTTTGTTGGATGCGAGGGATACCTGTATTTGCTGGTCGTCCGGGTCTGTCCATGCTGGTGCCTTGCGACCCTTGGGGGGATCTGTGTTGTCCTTCACTGCAGCTCCAGTGTCCCCCGCTTCTTCTTCCTCGTCGTCCGAGCCCGACTCATCCTCTTCGCCCAAAATACCGCTCCCTGAGGCCTCAGCATTGGACTCCTCCCGGCTATCATCGTCCTCTACCTTCTCTTGCGCATGAAGCCCCGAACCCAATGGATTCGCATCGTCTACGAAGAAAAGCTTCCAGCAAGCTGACCCATTAGACGACAAGCACTCCGTAGACCATCTGACGACTCACGTCCGTATCTAATAAATGCTCAAGCTCCCTCCCGCCCCTCTCCTCCTGCACGTCCTCCCCATCCTCATCGGACACTACTAGTATATTTTTGTTCTGCTTTTGGGATGGAACGTAAGGCGTGCCGAAGAGCATGCTCTCCAGCCTGCGCTCCTCGTCGTCTTTGCCGGCATCGTCATGAGTGGAGGCCACGGTACCTAGGGGATGCACCTCTTCATGTTGTGCTCTGCCTGTCCGCTGCCGCTTGCGTGCGTGTTTGCCCATAGTCTGAAGTCTCTTTAGTGGAGGATGCGGAAAGAGCCGAAATTTCTTTGACTTCCTGTTTCGATCGCATCCACGGCACAGACACTGCGACATCCCGACATCTGCACTGTCAACATCTCTAACATCTCTTTTTATGGCAGTAATGTGGCGGCACCGGAAATGCAGCGCATACTCATCAGAGGGTATCAGCGAAGAGGTGATTAGCTAGGACACGGCAAGTAGCAGATGGGCATGCATGCGCACTTGCTTTATATTATTAATATTGCGCAATGTTCCTGCGAGGATACGACAGCAGACAGACCATATGTAGACAATTTGAATACATAAATGTATATTCTATCCCGGACTCTGAGTCCCCCCGTTCTATGCACCTTGTCCTCACTCTCGCGTGGCGGCGCGACATCCGTCCAAGCTCAAAGGAGCAGGCCTGCAGGGGCTGGCAGCCTCAGCATGCTTCGCATCGTCTGATGAATAGCCTTGTAGACTTAGACTACCTGTATTGTAGACGAGAAACCGATTATCTTATTAGTATCTCGAGGTCAAAGCGTTACAGTAATTCTCCTAAAGCAACCAGTCTCGGCGCCACATTCGAAGTTGTCGGATGTGGCACCGAGACTTAGCACCCGCTACATATCGACCACCGGTACCTGCGCGCCCACCCCAAAAGAAAATACCATTAAAACCATATAGGTAGTGTACAATAAATCAGGAGCCCCCAGCTGCTTCCAGCTGCATTCTTCTGATAAGTACGACAGCTGCAATGTAATATGTGTACGACAATGAGGAACTATGCCCCGACGGTTATCCCTCGTGAGACGAGGGAGGCAAGCGCACGATGCAAGACTTCAGCTGAAGCTCCATTGAAGGTCAGAACATTTGTCATCTCCAAATCATATCTAGCTCGTTGAGATACTCAGCCGCACCAGAAAGGTTGGCAACCTTTGCGCATGTCGCGTGCAATGCCAGGAGCTCAGGTGAGGGAAGCGGAAGCAGCTCGGAATCAGGTGAAGTAAATGTCACAAACTGCCTCCACAGAAGGTAACCTTCATCGACTAATCCAATGCGGTAGCGGTTCGGAGTGTCCTGGAAGGCCATCAGTGGAAGGTAAATGTGGCCCAAAGACTGCAGAGCACTCACCGTGGCGTCCAGCCATAATATCAATTGATCAAAATGGTTATGTACGTTCATCTCGAGAGTCATTACGTTGTACAACGATGCACATTAGTACCATTCAGCTTCTCAAAATCGTAGCCGAAATGCTTCAGAACAGCCAAAACAGAGGCAGCATCATCTATCTAAAATCAACTGCATCAGCGAACAACTTACACCTGCAGTATTTCGGGTTATGGTGCCATGCCGGTATCTTGGTCGGAGCGGTCAGGATCGATGTTGAAATAGGTCGACGCAGGAACGATGTGAGCACATTGCGTATCGACAATGGCGCCATTATCGTTAAGCTCCTGCTTTGAAAGACCGAGCTTCTTCCTCGCCAATGTGTCATAGCAGCCGGAGCCAACACATCTGTAGCCATTGCGTATGAGCACCTACAACAACCGAAACATGAGCAGGGGAACGCAAATGTAGCAATATGCGCGGGCAGAACCTGGGCCTTTGCGGTGACATGATCTTTTGGTGCCCCCTGAATTGTGGTCATGAGCAAGAGTCGATCGTGATTAAAGGATGGTGGTTGGATGAGGAAGGGGTCCTCCCTTTGTTTTTTCTGACTGGTAGGGAATGAATATGAGCCGCAGCAGGACAAGTGGCATACCCACAGGCACGTATGAACAGTTTAAGAAAGGCCTGTCCCGACACATGCAGCGTGTCCTCAGCTTGGCTGCAGGAGTGGATTGTACTGACAGTCTCCGCGAACGCCTGATGTGAAGGCGCGTGGACGAGTAGGTAGCCTAAGACTCGAGCGATATGAAGCGGCGAGAGTCTTGCTGGGCCAAAGCGGACTTCTCAAACTCCACGCAAGCATCATATGCACTGAGTGCATAAGGATAAAATGCTACTCGGGGAATCAACTCGGACCGTGGTGGCAGCGGTTCAGCCTCAAAGCTGGTCATTATGTTCCAAGTAACGAGTCAAGCCTCAGGGCTTCCTCCTAGGAAGTTGGTCAGGTAATGGCCAGCATATTAGGGAGTGTACAGCCAATATGGTATGTGGTGTAGAAACCTCTTGTGGTCCTCTATTCGAATTTAAACCCCCGGCAGGTTTTACGGGGGACCAAGGTATCGGTGCTGGAAGGAAATTTCATTCCGAAGTACAATGTCCGGATACTTTGTGAACCAGCTGTATGTGCAGGCCTAGTACCCGTGCAGCCGCGATCGCTAGTGTTGTTCAAAGTGAAGTCAAAGTCCTTTGAGGTGTGATATTGGCGGACTTCTATCTCAATGACAATCTCATGAAGTCACCTCAAAGTGGCTGAAGGCTTTGCTTCCCCAATGGTGCAGCAACTCCCGGTAGAGTCCTCTCCCTCGCAGCTCAAGGTCATGCAATGTTTATGGTACATACAAATGCATTGAGTGTATGCGCATATTCATCGGGGAGGTAATCCTCCAAGAACTGAGTGAAACGGTGACATGCCGATGGTCGCTCATGAGAGGGTCACGAAACTTTTCTACTGTATTGCGTCCAGTCTCCTCGGCTATCGATACGTGCCCGACACAGGTTCATAGCTGTGGAAGGTGGTTCGAGCCTACTGCATATCCTCCACCGAATATTTATGCTCTAATAGCTGACCTACCTGTGGGAGCAGATACCGTTGGAGCGTGGGAGAGAAACGAGAGATTGATACCTCTGCAACTGGAACATGGTGGTATTGAATCCGTCGGAACCACCAAGGCCAGAGTACCCTGTTCTTGACTCAAGTTGACCGAACTCTGGCTTCGGAGCATCTGCGCACTTGTAGTTATCCACGTCGAGCCGTCTTACCCTCGACAGATTGACGAGGCCGACCCTCGCCGACTTGAACTGTATCCGTATATCACCCCTCGTAGAACACGCTGGTATGCATTCAAGCCACGCTGTGCGAGCAGGGCTTGGTGCAAACGGGGTAATTGTGCACGAGTGAGGCCAAGCCGCTGCCGCGTATTAAGTAGTATCCGACGCTCTGTGGTCCACGCCCTCGGAGCATGGATCAGTGCCGACCGCGCGACCGGCTAGCGAACGTTACTTTCAGTGCCGATGAGCCAACACGGCCTCCCCCGTTCCGGGCCACGTATATAATTCTGCTCGGTCCTGTCCTTGAGTATCCGGTCCGAGGGGAGAGAAAAGTGACTTACGCGCTCTATTTATGTCGGGGCTTGAGTGCATCATCCATGATCGATGTTCCGCGGTGCCTACTCGGCCTCTCGCACGCAGGCCGAACATACAATGCATGCCATTCTGGTAGAACGACCTATTTGCCTGCGTGTCGGACCTGGATGATCAGTGCGCTGGTGCTGGCTAGGAGTGTGGCGTGAGCGCCAGCTCGTCCTGGACAATATACCGGTCGTCGTGATTTGCCTCTAGCGCTGTTGATGTCCGACGGTGAGCTACGCGTTGCTAGAGCTTCATGCAGAGTAATCTGCGTAAGGGGAGGCCGCGTCGGGAATCGCCCGAAAAGGGAATGTTATACTTATTAGTGTGTGAAATCGGTTCGGCAAGGGCCGCGGCGTGTCAGGCTCGGTAGTGCTGCTCGCGTACTCATTACAAGCGCTAGCGTCGCGCCGAGTCGTTGTATTTTCTCCCTTTCGCCGCCCCCTCCTGTTCCCATAATACCCGTCGTCGCCGTCTTTGGGCTCTAATTTATCTCTTGTCGTTCGTATAATTATTCTCTGCAGAGAACAAGGCGCGTACGTGGGTTTTGTGCGCTTCATCAGCTTCCTGTCTGAGGCATCATGATTGCATCCATAGCTTCACACAGCGCTCGGCCAGCTCGAACTGCGACGAGGTCCATTCTTCTGGTGTGCCCGCGCAAAGACTGCTAGTGCTGCGCCTCGCCTAGCCGTCCCTCTGCTCTACTCAGCGTCTGGTTCCGGCGTCTATCGTATTCTACCCGATTATCTTAATCCACCTGCTTAATCATGGGCGCGTGCATGTCGTCCGGCGGCGTCGAGGTCTCGGAGGAGGACAAGCGGAGGAATAAGGAGGTGGAGAAGGAGCTGAAGGAGGTGAGTGTCTGTACAACGGATATGCTCCTCCGACGAGTACGCGTCCAGCCCGCGTCATTCTGCTAACCCGTTTCCAGGCCAAAGCCAAGTTGGCATCACAAGTCAAGGTAGCGTAGGCTTGCTAAGAAGTATGCTCGTTTCGATTGACCTTTCATAGGTCTTGCTACTGGGCTCCGGAGACTCGGGCAAATCAACTATTTTGAAGGTACCTGGTTCATCCTAACGGTGATGGATGATGTGATGCTGACGACTGTACCCCCCCCCCCCAGCAAATGCGTCTTATCCACAAAGTCCCCTTCACTCCCCAAGAAGTCGAGTCGTATCGGCAGCTTGTCTTCAATAACCTGACACATGGCCTCCAATCCGTCCTCGAGGCGATGGACGACATGGACCTCCAGGTCTCCGAAGAGAATCAGCAATACATTGAGATGATCGAGAGCGCTGCTGATATCAAGGACCACGAGCCGTTCCCACAGTCATACTACGAGCCTCTGAAGTCGCTATGGGCAGATGAGAATCTGCAGAAGGCATACAGCCGCGGCAACGAAGCAGCACTGCCCGAGAAGTCAGTATTCTACCCAACCAGTGTATGCGGTACATTGATCGTTCATTCTCTACAGCCTTGAGTACTTCTTCCCTCAACTGGACCGGCTGTTCAAGCCAGACTACCAACCACATGAGCTAGACATCGTACACTGTCGTGCACGGACAATTGGTATCACGGAGACGATGTTCCAGCTGAAGGACCACGAGATGCTCATGGTGGACGTCGGCGGGCAGAAGAGCGAGCGGCGGAAGTGGATCCACTGTTTCCAGGATGTAACGAGTATACTGTTCTTGGTCAGCTTGAGCGGCTACGATCAATGTCTGGTTGAGGACAAGGATGCAGTGCGTCTTATCTTGTCTATTGTTGCCTGATCGTTGTACTGATGGACGCGCGAGCGGTAGAATCAAATGCAAGACGCCATGACAATATGGGATTCGATATGCCACTCTCAGTGGTTTAAGCAGACGTCGATAGTACGTGCTATATGCGACTGGTATCCATCTGTCGCTCATTTTTGCCCTTAGATCCTCTTCCTGAATAAGAACGACCTCTTCGAGAAGAAGATTGCACACTCAGATATCAAGAACTACTTCCCCGTGCGTTTATTTTACTACCTTATCAGCCATTGTCGGCTTAATGAGGATCTTTGTGTTCTCCCAGGATTATGACGGTGAACCGGGTGATGTACGTGCTGGCCGCGAATATTTCAAGAAGCGATTCGCGCGGTTAGCGCAGAAAGCAGGGGCAAAAGAGCGGGAGATCTACATTCAGTAAGTGACAAGGAGAGGGCTCATGGAGCATGCTCCGCCTTCTTCGGCGCTGACGCGACAATTCCAAGCCTAACAACAGCAACGGACACGGCTATGTTGCGAGTGGTGATGGCTGCGGTAGAAGGTTCGTGCGTTCTTGTATTTTGGGGTGCATCAAATTCTGACTCGGATCTTTCGCGCTTTTGTATTCCTTTTCTCTCAGAGTGAGTCGTCTCCTTCATCTCTCTCACGTTTGTTTGTTCATTGCGCGACCCATTGCTCATCGTGCGTCCTTCCCGCCCGGGCTGCAGCATAACTCTCCGAAGCAATCTTGAGAATGCTGCGCTCATATGATTCGCTTCCACCATGCCCGCCGCGTTTCGGCTTCTCTTCCTACACTGTACTATGACGCTCTCTTGATTTTTTCTCCTTCCTCCCCCCCCCCACCCTATCCTGAGCTGGCTGCAACTCGGGCGGGGGCAGCACGCACTATGCACGTTGATCTGTTTTTGCATGCTTTGCTTTGTCCGTCGTTAATACTAAACTCATTTCTCTCCTCTTTCTGCTGTTCCGTCCCGGATGATCGCACCCACAATGTCATTCTGCACCCGATCCGACAATTCCGGCGCATCATCGGTCATATGGTACTTTCTCCGCTTCCCCGATTGGCAGTGCGATCATAAGCAAGAATGTGAGTTGCCATAACTTGTTCTCAGGCTGCGAGAAGGCTCACAAGGTCTTCTAACCTCTCGGCTATTTTTGTTCCAACCCCGCAGATTCGAGAAATTATGCTGTGAGTTTTAAGGGGGCCGTTCTGGGGTGCATGGGCGTACGCGTCGCAAGGCACGCACCGTTCCGTTCCATCCGTTCTCCCTATGCTCTCCTCCTGTTCTGTTGTCACGCATGTTACAATCCCTGTTTCCCATTTGCTTTCGGTTTAATTTATCTGCAAGATGCTAGCTTCGACGTTCGGACGGGTTGGGACTCATGGAATATTCACTTTCGTATCAAGATTTGTTGTCGCACTTCTTCCTATATCATGTACGCAAGTCTGCTCTTTCCCCCTGCCCGTGCATTCTGTACCGCTATTCTCGCGGCATTGTATTGTTGTCTATACCTCTCAGGCTTCGCTTCACACATACATACGGAGTCAGCTTATTCAAAATTAATCATTCTCCTGTAAGCGTTCGAAATCGCCACAAATGCATGCTCATGGATTGATTGGCGCGACCTGGCCACCTGGCCAAGAGCTTCTACTGGGCGGTTCGCTTGTTCTTGCGGCTGCGATCGTCTTCCGCTCCATCGCTACGCGCGGGGTAAATTACTAAGATCAAGCGTGCGGTATGGATCTCATAAATGAATTCGAAGGAAGCCCGGAAAGAGATTGAGCATACTGTGGACCCCTAGCCGGCGGCGGCCTGTGGCGGCGGCCTGTGTGCTCCTGTGTGGCATAGTAACCCACTGGCAGTCTCGATTGCGGGATATCGGTGTCGGTGCTATGATCGGTTCTAAGCCTCAAACACGGACGGGGCCCGTGTAGGCTATCATAGCTGCTGAGCTTGCCGTCCTATACATGGAGCCCGGGGACAGACATTCTTCAAGTTTGATGGGCCGCGTCGGCTGAGTGTACTGAAGCTTACCGTTGCCGAGGAACGTCTATAGCTAGCTACTGGAAATGTGACCACAGGTCACAGAACCACGCCACAGAGACCCCAGCGCCGCAATCCGAACTCGCGACGCTCAAAGTCGACCTGGTCCTGCTCGGCAACGGTAGAAGCTACCGGAAGAGTGAGGGTATTCTTCAAGCCTCTTCGATCATGTACTCGGTATTCCATCACACGGTTAACATGAGTTCGTGGCAGCGTTAGCTTCGAGCTACGTGGACATTCATGCACGATTGCTCGGTGAGGTGGGTAAGAGGACAGCTACATGAGTAAGCTACTGCTTTGCCTGTGCTACCCAGAGGGAAAACAAAGTCTAGTTCTCAAACAAGGTATACCTTATACATACAGCGCCCATCGTGTGGATGTCCATATCCCAAGTCCCCCCACGGCCCTCCGAACTCACTTCTTGATCCCCAGCTTCAGGCCTAGGGACACCGCCCTCAATGCATCCGCTCTCTGCCGGCACCTTGAGCATGCCGCCTCGACTAACTAGTACCCCAGCTCGGACTACAAATTCTTCGCCAGCCAACCATCCATTGACCATTTACAACTTGCAAGGTTTCCCTGGGTTTGTCGTAGGGAGCCTAATTGCCATTAGCATCCAATGTCGCGCCAGTTCCCCCACTTACCATATGACCCGCTTCGTCTATAGTAGCGAACGTGAGCCCGGGCCCGCTCGCGCTCCTCGTCCTCCCCGCCACCTTCCCCTGCCAGTTCCTCAGTGGCGTGCTCATGAAACCCGGCTGGCCACTCCATTCGAGCGCGAGCGTCCACCGTTCGTTCCCGACCCAGCTGCAGTCGTACGTACCTACGTAGACGAGGACGTGCACGCCGCGCTCGAGGAGGCCGTGGACATACGGGGTTGTCGAGCCGAAGCGGTCGTCGAAGTTGTAGAAGAATAAGCTGACGTCCTCGGAACACATTGAGTAGTTCTGCGGAACTGAGGGGTCGACGCCGAGGGCGGGGATCTCGGGTCTGTCGAGGTATTTGGTAATACCCCTAGAGAGGCAGAAGGCCCTGACCGCGCACTATCAAGAACGTGAAGGACGTTCTTCGTGAGGGGATAGCAGTATGTCTCTGTCACGGGTCCATCGTACATCTTGTTCATGTCGTATGGATTCAAGCCTACAAATTAGGTTAGGTGACGGAATTCCACTTTGTTATGGACCATTACACCGACCAGTATCGTAGTATGGCTTGTCGAATCCCTTCTCACAAATAAACATCGCAACCTCGCACCGTATTGAGCCAAAGCGATACCCAATTGGTCTTCAACAGCTTTTGTCACCTTGGTATCACCTGCTTCGTCGGTACGCAAGTACTACAGGAGCGTGAATGAGCAATATGAGTATGCAGGACAGATTACGCGGGACGGTACAGGTTCCGCGTGCACGACATATCATAGTGGGAGAGTACCATGGAGTAATAGTCAGTCAGCCCGTTTCATGCAGCGTAGGGAGAATCAGAGATATAGCGCATACTAAATTGTTCACACTTGCCGATCATAATCAACCTGAAGTTGATGGGTGTCAGCCTGGCCTCGACGAGCTTAGCATTTTGGTCGTAGAGAGCCGTAGCGACGATAGGAATGTAATGGCCCTGCATACATCCTGGTGAACGAAAGCTGTCTAGGTGTTGAGACGTGACTTACACCGTAGGACTCTCCCACCATATGATATGACCGCCCTTGCAATGCAAGCTGTTGGAAGTCTCAAAGAATATGGACACGAAGGCGCCTATGTCCTTGGCCACTGTTGCGGCATTCCTCTGGAATAGCGACGTTTTAGCTCATCCACTCACAAATATGAGGAAGACATACTTGCAACTGTCTCACCGTGTTCAGCATGAGAAAGGCCTACTCCAAAAGGCTGCTCGACGAAGAATACGTTTGCTTTCGAATTCCAAGATTCGGGGTTGGACACAATGTTATTTGATCTGACCCACTTTGAAAGGGCCTGTGATAGTTCAGACTCAACGCATGCGTATAACACCTTTGAACACACCAAGTTCCATCAGACCGATAGCAGAGGAACACCCTGGGCCTGCGATTGCAGAAGTCAGTGCCACAGAACAGCCACCCTGCAGACTATTGTTCACCTCCGTTCGTCCACAATATGATGTCGTCCTTGTCTGGCTCACTTCGGCTCTCGAAGAAGTAGAAGAACAGATGCCTAGCCTCTATATCGATGTACCCGGTGTACGCACTGCGTCACCGTTATGAGAGCACAATTACACCCTTCGGTTGCTTGTCCTATAACAGCTACGCGCGGCACACTTCCATCACAGAAATCAGTCTTCTCAATCCTAACCCTGTATCCTGGCCAGGCGGGGTGCCTGAGTACAGTAAAGTCTACCCCCAACTTGTCGAAACCCCGTAAGGCAACAGGCGTGTGGCCGTGGATCTCGTAGCCATCCAAATCCGTTTTCACCACACTTGCTCTTGTGGTCGAATAGCTGAGGATAAGGAAGCTTGGGTCTGTCCGGCTTGAACCGACCAAAACTCAGGCTGGGAAAGAATCGATATCTCGGTTGGCGTGCGGCGGACGCTGCCGACAACACATACGTAGTCAGTATACTGCAGCTGAGTGCAAGACTGAAAGTATACATCATAGAGACGAGGAGCGGTAGGCGGGAGGGTTACCTGCTTGCCTGCTATCATATCAATATAGAGACATAATAGAATGTACTGAACCACTACAGTTAGAGTTGAAGCGATATTGATGTGGCAGTACTAGTAGTGTAGCGGTCGGAAGCTGGCACTCGGCAAACGGGAGCAAACCATGTCAACACTCTACATCGTGCTTGCGAAAGAGTAGATAGCCGGTAAGCGTCCTGCATACGGCGTACGTCTACAACTATCTGCAAAGGCGGGTCTGCTTCTGGAACATGGGATCATCATCCCTATAGACAGGATTGCTCGCCTATCTACTGACTATTGAGGAGGCTTGTATCTAGCCTAGGATCATCATGATTACTCGCCAGATGAGACGGATTCCAGCTAGTGGTTCCTCCAAGTAAGCATGCCTTCTAAATATATTCTCTTGCATCCTGTTCAGGACTTTAATATGGCGTTTCATTCTGGTCTGCGCAACATTGTATTTATCCCACATACCCTATGACCCTCGGCTATCTGTCCAGGAGGAAATATGTCTTACTGACACAGCTGGCCACGGTTCCATCTGCTGCGAGCCGGGACCGAAGTTATGCACAGACTGCGCCCTCGCCATACTTTCGCTCGGAGCGAAGCTACAAGATTTCGGCGGTATAGCGTAGGCCTTCACTGTGCGCGCCAGGCCGGCCTAAATTAGACCGGTAATGGGTCAATTTTGTACTTTCGGCCAAAAAGTGGTCGAATAAGGTCGAAATAGCTTGCCGTATGGAAACCAGTTGGGATTCCGAACTTGGGCATTCCATACGATAAACGGTCGAATTCTGTCTGTTGAATCCGCAGCAGCAGTCGTGAGAACCCACAGGTCGGAGTTCGAAGATCGGAATGATAGCCCCACTTGCGTCACTTCGTGACATGTTCAACTTGCCTCTGACCTCGACGCCGGCCCTTGCCATGCGCTCGCTGTTGCGCCGTCGTCGCCGCCGACGCCGCCGACGCCGCAGTGAGCAGCTCCGCTGGTATACATGGCCCGGGCGGGTATGACACAGTTTGCTGTACTATTCTACATAGAGAATATACAAATATGTTGGTGCCTCAACTGCATTGCACACTGACTGCTAGGGGTGCCAAAGCCAAGGGATGGTGGTTTGCATAACCAGATGGAAATAGACCACTAAACGGTTGGAAAATGTCATTTTCGGCCGTTCTGAGGGGGGGTCGAAATTCACAATTTGGTGGGACAAAATGATACGGTGTCTTTCGTACGGTAAGCGGACAATTTCAGCCTTCTACCGACCGAAATTGATCTGTCTAGCGAACGAATATACCGGTCGATTTTAGACCGGTCTCACGCCTCCAGAGCTTCCTTCAGACTCGGAGGCAGGGGTCACTCTATCCCGATCGCCTTACATCAAACGACTTCCTTCGTCTTAGCGGGAAAACGGCCGGGTTTGGGCCGACCCGTTGCCCAGGTTTGATAGGTCGAGTTCCATATCATATGCAAAGATCCAAGTGACGTGCCACTAAAATTTCCGGAGAACGCCCAAGGGTTCCTTTACTGGCATAGAGAAGACGATGCACCCGTTTCGACATTCACGATTCGATTCCGCCTCACCAAATCTGCAGACTACCGTTGCCGAGCAGGACCAGGTCGACTTTGAGCGTCGCGAGTTCGGATTGTGGTGTTGGGGTCTCTGTGGCGTGGTTCTGTGACATGCAGTCACATTTCCAGTAGCTAGACGTCTACCATATATAGTGTGACTACCGCCATACTTGGGTGGTACTGAAGTCAACTTCGAGGCCCAAGCGGGAAGCATTGTTCATTCAAGCCATATTGAAGCTTCAATCTCTACATTGATGATACAAGTTGCCAGGAGATGAGACTGGTCACACTCAGATTTAGTAGTAGCCTAGGACATGTACTTAATTCACCGGCCGGCTTCTGATACCAACATATAGTCCACTGTTCTTAGCTATCAAACCTACTATAAAGTGCAACACATTGCTTCGAATAGCACTTTCCCCCACCGGAATTCTTGTTGGAGTCTTTGAGGCACAGGATACTTCACCGATGTACCTTCCAAGTCGGGATGGTTGTTAGAGAGCCACCTCAAT